GTTAAAGAGCGCGACCCACTTTGGCTGCGCCCCCAGCACGGGGAGTTTACACACCCAAAAAAGTGAGGTGCAGCGCTTGGTTCAAGAAGGGACTGGAGCGCCACCACTCTCCTCCCCACAACTGCCAAGGCAGAGAACTCTCGTCTGACGCATTGGATCACACCACTCCCATCCCTGCTAGAGAGCTGCCCTCCTCCTTTTTCCGCCCCCTCTTTTTTTTTTTTTTCCCTTTTTCTCTTTTTCCTGGAACACAGACCTGATTAACTCTGGTCACCGGCTTGCTTAAACAGTCACATCTAGTCCATTCTGTAGATGTTAATTCTACACCTACTGACCTTTTCATCTCTTTCTCTCAGGAGTAATTAGACTATATAGTCTCTCTGGATAACACCAGTGTCCTTCTCTCACCTATCCAACCATATTCCACCCTTTAGCTCTTTGAAAAAAGCTTCTTATCCGTTCTGCCTGTTCATTCTGTTTCCAATTTTGCCTTATCCCCACCCTGTCTTCTCTTTCTCTATGCTCTTCAACCAGCACTGCATATACACGGCTATTTAACTGTAGCTGGGAAATCCGGTTATATGCTTTAAGCCGTTCTTTTTCCATCGGTTTTCTTCTTTTTTCCTTTTCTTCCTTTTGACCTTTTTATGTATTTTTTATTCTCTATTATTCCCCTTCCCTCCTCCGTCTTTTCTCTTAACTTTTTTGTTTTCCCTCTCAGTTTGCATGTTAGTTGGATTTGTCTGCCCATTTGTGTGCCTCTGCTCCCTGTGTGTTTGTCTGTCTGTTTTCTTCTCCAGGGCTACCTCAAGAAACAAGCCAAAGTACACATGGTGGAGAGTCCCAAATATCACTACGAGTAGGAAAATAAAATAACCAAGGTCTCAACAAGAGAGACCAAGAGATACCATTCAAAAAACACTCTCTGAAAGGATAGGTCCTGGACAGTCAAAGAGTCTTCTTGGGTACAGCAGCGCTCACAGGTGCAGAGTGCATAACAAATCTTTAAAACTAACAAGAGACAGAAAGCGAACCAAAATGATGAAACGAAAGAGCTCTCCTCTAAAGAAATTCCAAGAAGAATTGATAGCTGGTGAACTGCTCAAAACAGATATAAGCGGCATAATTGAACAAGATTTTAGAAGAATAATCATAAAATTAGTAGCTGGGCTTGAAAAAAGCATAGGGGACATCAAAGAAACTATGGCTACAGACAACATGGAGAATAAAAATAGGCATGATGAATTAAAAAACGCGATAAATGAGATACATAATAAATTAGAGGCGTACATCCCCATGACTTAATTATTTTATAAGTGGAAGTCTAAATACCTTTTGATTCCTGTCACCCATTTTGCCCACCCCACCCTCACTTCTGTCAACCACTGTCTGTTCTCTGTATCTATAAGCTTATATTTTAGGTTTTTGTTTTTGTTTTTTTTCTTTAGGGGAGGAGGTTAGATTCCACATAAAAGTGAGATCATACAGTATTTGTCTTTTCCTGTCTGACTGTCTCACTTAATATAATGCTCTCAAGGCCCATCCATGTTGTCCACATGGCAGCAGTTCCTTCTTTTTTATGGCCAAGTAATATTCCATCCCCCCCACCCCCCTCTTGGGTGGTTTCCATATCTTGGCTATTGTACATAATGCTGAAGTGAACATGGGGATGCAGATATCTTCTTGAGTTAGCATTTTCATTTTCTTCAGATAAATAAGCAGAACTGGAACACTAGATCATATGTTTTGTTTTTTTAAGTTTTGAGGAGCCTCCATATTTTCCATAGTGGCTGCACCTATTAACATGTCTACCAGCAACGCACAAGTGTTCCCCTTTCTCTACATCCTTGCCAACACGTGTTGTTTCTTGTCTTTTTGGTAATAGTCATTCTAATAGGTATGGGATGATAGCTCATTGTGGTTTTCATTTGCATTTCCCTGATGATCAGTGATATTCAGCATCTGTTCATGTGTCTGTTGGCCATCTGTGTGTATTTTTGGGAAAATGTTCAAATTATCTGCCTATTTTTAATTGGATTGATTATTTTGTGTGTGTGTGTGTGGTTTTTTGTTGTTTTGTTTCATATTGCATCGTATGAGTTCTCTATATATTTGGGGTATTAATCCCTTATCAGATAATATGATTTGCAAATATATCTCCCATTCAGTAGGATGTCTTTTCATTTTGTTGACGTTTCATTTGCTTTGCAGAAGTTTTTAGTTAGATGTAGTCCCACTTGTTTGTTTTTGCTTTTGTTGCCTTTGCTTCTGGTGTCAGATCCAAAAGGTCATCCCCAAGATTAATGTTAAGGAGCTTACTGCCTATGTTTTCTTCAAGACGTTTTACAGTTTGAAGTCTTAAGTCCAAGTCTTTAGTCCATTTTCGGTTAATTTTGTATGTGGTGTAAGATAGTGGTCCAGTTTCATTCTTTGCACATGCGTGTCCTTTTTTCTCACCGTCATTTAGTAAAGAGATTGTAGTTTTCCCATTGCATATTATTGGTTCCTTTGTCATAAATCAATTGACCATATATGCTTGGGTTTATTTCCGGGTTCCCTTTTCTCTTCCACTGATCTTTGTGTCTGTTTCTAAGCCAACACCTAACTGTTTTGATTATTACAGCTTTGTAATGTAGTTTGAAATCAGGGAGCCTGATGCTTCTAGTTTTAATTTCTTCTTTCTCAAGAATGCTTTGCCATTTGAGGTCTTTTGTGTTTGTATACAAATTTTAGGGTCGGTTGTTCTGTTGTGAAAGATATTTGTTGCAATTTGGATAGAGATTGCATTGAATCATAGATTGCTTTGGGTAATATAGATGCTTTATTAATATTCTTTCATCTATAAGCCTGCTGTAGTTTTCCATTTCTTTGTGTCATCTTCAGTTTCTTTCATCATGGCTTTATGGCTTTCAGAGTACAGGTCTTTCACCTCCCAGGTTAAATTTATCCCTAGGCGTTTTATTCTTTTTGATGTAATTATAAACGGGGATATTTTCTTAATTTCATTTTCTGATAGTTTGTTATTAGCGTATAGAAACATAACAGATTTTTGTATGTTGATTTTGTATCCCTCAATTTCACTGAATTCATTTATTAATTCCAACAGTTTTGTGGTTGATGTCTTTAGGGTTTTCTATATATAATATCCCATCTTCTGCAAATAGTGACAATTTTACCAATAAACTATTATTTATCAGTATCAGAATATTATTATAGTTTCATGAAAGTAATTGCCATTCTATTTTGGTGTTCCAGACTTGAAAATTATAGCTGCTTAGAAATAACTTATGTAACTTTGATGTCTTAAATTTGGTTTTAAATATGATTTAGAGTGTCCTGGGTAAGAAAATAGAGAGTTATTTAAGGGATTTATTTAAGGGATTAAGGAGTAGAACAGAATTGGTTGGTTTCCTTGAATGTGAAGCATTCCAGGGCACTGAACACTCACTGAACTTAGAAAACATGCCAGAGGGCTTGTGTAAGAGGGCCTCCTAGGGCTGCCTTTTGAAGAGCTCAAGGCTAGCTGCCTAGAGGTGGCATGAAATCAACTAATTAGTCTATTTTTAAAATGAAACTATTTCATCCTTTAAATTTACTTTTAATAATTTTTTTGTGAATTTAGCTTACAGTACATTCCTAATATTCCTTTGTATTCAGACAACAGATCAGAGAACAAAACTAGAGAACATAAAGGAGAAGCAAAAGTCTGTGTTAGAAGCAAGACTTGCTAAACTCTGACAAAAAAAGATGAAGAAGTCAAAAGAAGATGGAGCAGAGGAAGAAAACAAAGGTATATCATGGCTCATTGTGTCTGAACTTCGGAAGGAAAAACTTTAGTTCCGTTGATGTCTCAACGAATAGGACTGACAGTATGGAAATGAGCCACTTAGTTTTACTCTCTAAGCAAGCAAGGTGCCTTTGGGGTACTGCCAGGAGCAGGTTTTTATAACCAAGTGGTACATACAGAATGACACTCCGAAGAATCTTTTTATAGACAAGAATGTTAACAAACAGGACATTGTGTTACTTCATAGAAGGGCCTGGCTCAGTAACCAAGACTGAGCTGAGAGCAGAGACGTTTTAAGATATGAAGTTTAGTTTTACACACACATTTTAGACTTGGTTTCTTTTGCTATAGTTATAAGTTTTTTGGTTATTGTGCATTAACTTGTTTCGAAGAAGAAATGAATTCACAGAGTCAGGTAAGGAAAGAATTTATGAGTATAGACAGCTTCTGAAAGGACTGTCACAACACACGGCAACCACATGGCATGTCATGTCCCTGCTGGCTTGCTGCTAGCTGCATGACCCCCTCATCTGGGCTACGCTGCCGTGACCGGGCCTCCCGCGTGGCCTGGCTCAAACCAGGTGGAAGTCTGTTTTCTGTTTTAATGCCTTAGAGGTGGGTGGGTGTTGAGGCAGGTAGTAGTTCAGCCCCGATGGTCACCCAGTCCCAGCTCCCTCCTGTTTTCCTGTTGCTGCCATTCCTAGAGTGATGCTCGACCTGCAGGGCGGAAGCTTGCTCCCTACCGCCTGTTCATGGTCCAGCCGTAGGGAAGGGGGGAAAGCGGGGCGAGGGACCGGCTGCTCCTTTATGAGTGTGAGTTGGAAGGCACACACAGCCGTGCATTCACAGCATGGCCTGTCTAGTGAGGTGGCCACCTCCCCAACTGAAACCGGGGGCGCTAGAGTCTCAAAAGGAAGCAGGGGGTGTGGCTGTCAGGAGCCTGTTATACGAGCCTCTCCAGCTCTCAGAGAAGCCTCGTGCTAAGCCACCGGCCATTTCTGATTCTGAACAAAGCTTCAGTTTAGCTCTGAGAGGAGACCAGAAACCTCTAGGATTTGGAAAATCATCTGTTTGGTTTTGTGTAAATGCTGTGCTCCTGTGACATGTTAAGCTCTTCATATTGTTTCCTGTTTTTGCTCTCTGCCTGTTTTGCTCTCTGCTCATCTGTCATTTCTACCAGGTGGGAAGTGCCGCACAGTGTTTTTTGAAGTCTCTTTTCTTTTAAAATCTAGCCCAGGGTGAAGAAGCCACAGCATTGCCACACCTGGCTCTTCATCCCTCTGAGTCCCCTTGCTTTGTCTGAGACTCTTATTTTAGTGGAGTGATTGGGGAATTTCTGGTCCCCCAGTTGTTGTTCTGGGGACGCAGGGTGGCATGGTGGGAAGCATAGGAACTTTCAAATCCATCCAACCTGGGTTCGGATCCTGGCTCTTGTCATTTTCTACCTGGGTAACATTTCTGAGCTTAATCTTCCTCATTTATAAAATAGGAATACTAACACTGACTTTATTAGGGTTATAAGAATTACATGAACTATTGTATACATGGTACTTAGTCCACTGCCTGGGCCAAAAGAGGTACTCGTTAAATACTGGGTATTACTTTTACTCTCAAGATTAGCATGTTCTATTTAATGTTTATTTTAAAAATAGCTTTGAGTTTTATTTTAATGATGTCTTATTCTCTTGCA